TAAAAAATTATGATCCAGAGATCTGGGAGAATCTCTCAATTTCATCGCGACAGGATTTTTTCACATGCTGATAGCATGTGACACGTGACCAGATCACGATTGTAAATAACAATTGGAATGCTGATAAAGCGATTGATTGAAGAGTTGCTATTTATAATTGTCGACAAGGCTAGTAAATAAAGGGTAATGCTTTTATGACACCGTGGTTATTGTGAAAAGATAATGATTAAGGTATAATGATTGTCTTATTCTCTTATGCTTTTGAACGAACATGATTGAAAGTTGGCAATTTTCCGCCATAGTGACACGAGAGTGCCGCCATAGTGCCACAAGTGACAAGAGTGCCACGAGAGTGCCATCGGGATCCGGATGTATGACCAGAAGTTAGTTAAAGTTAAAAATTCGAGATACCAACAGAGCAACAGTAACAAGTGAAATTATTATGAGCGCCGTCCAGTAAAGAGCAAGTACCCAAAGAGAGAAAGAGAGAAAGGGGAGCAAGAATGCTGACTGCCCTCAAATTTATTATTTCCTAACATCCTAGCGGGGCCATATACCAATGTTCCCTTTGAGTAGGTTACTGATTGCAGAGTTGAGACAAACACTTTAAAACTACCTTATCGGACTTTATTTGGTTTCCACGTGTCCGCTACCACAATTAAGTTCAGAGAAATGAGCCATAAGGTATGGCTCTTATTATTTTACAGAACAGTTGAGCATGCTATAAGTATTGGTATAATGTTGTCTCGTTTTTATAATCTCGTGCGTATCCACGTACAATTAAATAGCATTGGCATTGCCATTAGCTACTACTCTCAAACAGACAATAACTGTCTTAAAGTTAAACTGAGAGTCTAGTTATAGCGCTCGGCAACTCACTTGGCTCGCTCGACGCTCAGCTACTCAGTCAAACTCAATCAATTTCGCAGTCTTAATTATGTTATTTACTAATGCATTTAGGCCGGGTCATGTCAATTATGAGCGCCGTCCAGTAAAGAGCGAGCACCTAAAGATCGAGCGAGAGAGAGGGGGGAGGGGGAGCGAAGACAACACCAAACATCCACAAATTCTTTCCTCATGTTGTGACTGATTTGGGTAGAGAGCTTAGATTTTGAAGAGGATGAGTGGGGGAAGTTATATTCGGTGAGAAGATTTATTTGGAGATGTTGGTGTGCCACTGTACCAAGGAAGGCCCAGCATAATCTGCTCGTGAAATGCAGCGGAGAGAAGTTAATTTTCAGTGCTTTCAAGGCGACTATAGAAATCTATTGCAAGTTTGCAGGCTTATAATACAGTCTTGTTTTCATAATACTAGCAGGAACCCGTCTAACCCTGAAGTGGTGTCAAGAGACTAAAATAATTATTACTTATTTAATTCGCGTTTTTGACACCACTTGGGGGTCCAAATTTTGGGCTCTAAAACTCCTATTTCTTGGCCAATTTTTTATTTTTTCATGCTGATTTGAAGGCCATTAAAGCATTTGACCCAGTCAAAAAAGTTTCAGTTGCATATCTTTTACGGTTTTTGCGGAAAGTCGTGTTAAAGTTGATGCCGTGGTGTCAGTAAAATGGCACAGATAAATAAATATATATATATCGTCTCGCTTTATATATAGTAAGATTAATCACGTGCGTATAGCGCCTGCATTATCCAGTACACTTACAGCTACCCTGTACCCCCAAACAGTTTGGGTAATAGCTTAGATAATGTTACTTTACCTTTGATTTGTGAGTCGATAACTCACTTGGCTTCCTCAGCTGCTTAGTTACTTATTAACTCAGCTACTTAATTACTTTAATCAGTCAATCAATTTCGCAGTTACCTTACCTAGTGACCACAGGCTGTGTTCATAAACACAGAGATTCAGCAGAATGACAGGCTGATCAGCGCCACCCAGTAACAGTTACTTTAAATTTATTATTTATTATTTCCTAACATTTAGGCGGGGCCATATATCAATGTTCCTTTTAAGTACTAGGTTACTGATTTCAGAGTTGAGACAAACACTTTAACGTAAACACTTTAAAACTACCTTATCGGACTTTATTTGGTTTCCGTTTATATAGCTGGTTTAGCTTCCAAGTGTCCGCTACCACAATTAAGTTCAAAGAAATGAGGTATAGCTCTTGTTAATTTGCAGAACAGTTGAGCATGCTAGTTATATTGGTATAATATTAATATTGTCTCGTTTTCATAATCTCGTGCGTATCCAACACAGCTACCCTGTACCCTTAAACAATTCGGGTAATAACTGGGTTACTTTGATTTGTGTCTCGGCAACTCACTTTCTCCGCTACTCAGTAACTAAGTTACTCAGCTACTTAATAACTTTAATCAGTCAATCAATTTTGCAGTTACCTAAATTATTAATTCAATTGATCAGCTGTTACTTTAATTATTATTATTAATTCAATTGCTCAGTTACTTCTAATTATTCATATTGATTCAATTTCGCAGTGAATTTAATTATTATCTCAATCATTCAGTTACTATACCGATTACGCATGTTATTTGACACTGTTTCATTCCACCATATCAACCCTAATTTCGACTGGCCCTGATATGATGGGGCCAAATTATGTTCCTTTGGCTGCATACTAATTAATAATTACTGCTTACGGTAAGAGTGATTTATTATTTCGTAAAATTTAAGCCGTACAGATTAGGTCGGACGATAAAGGACTAAAACGACTCTTAAGTGTTTTTAAGTTTAATACCACCACCAGAATTAAAAAAGACAGTTTTAACGATGGTTAAAAAGTGAGAACTCTGATTAATGCTCTTATTATTGAGTCTTATAGGAGTTAAAGACTAATTTGATATGTTTACATATAATAGCTGTATTTGTAGGTATTTGTGGGTCATTATAAAGTTATAACCTACCTACCAAAACGCGTGCCGAGTTGGACTCGTCGACGGTCTTGTATTGGCCGGAACAAATATTTTAGTCTTTACGAGTATCACCCGTTAATACTTTAATAGATAGATAGATGTATGAGTGGACATACCATATCAATAACCCTGTCTAGAGTCATTGACTAATGATACCATGATCTTACCACTTAACCATATTATCGCCATACTTCACTTTATGATCATTCAACAAAAATATTTTTTTCCGAAAATTAAGTTAGTAGCCATATTATTTAGTGCCGGACAAACGAAAATTATTTTTTGGTCAAACTTATAGATCAGATTAAATAAGGGTCGTAGTTATTTTTCACAAATATTATGATTTTTACAAATTAAATGCGTGGGTCAAAAAAATGTTTTCAAAAACTATACAATTTCCAGAAAAGAAATAGAATAAATATACGAAAAAGTAACCATACTATAAAAATATAATTGACCTGCCTTCAGGTGGAGAGTTGAGGAAGATTTAGAAATCAACTCAGCATTGACCATCAAACCCTTCAATTACCCACCAGTATCCAGATAAACAGTTGTCTTGTAAAGTTGTAATAATTTGCTTAAATAAGTATAACTGTATAAAGATCGTTTTAACACATTCTTCACATCTTTATTCCCTTGTCAGACGCTGCCCAGTGCCCATCATTTCATTGTAGGAGGGACGGTGGAGGGGTGCATGCCATCGATAACCACAATGATATTCAATATCAAATTGTGATTATTGTCATCTTGATCGATGTCTGCGTTCATCTTGAAGTTGATCTATGTTTGTAATAGATGGATGTTATACGAGAATTCTGAGGATATCACATAGATTGGTCAGAGCGGCAGACTATATAATAACAATATAACGAAGCGTCAGACTATAAGTATAACGAAGCGTCAGACTAACTATAACGAAGTCTATTCGTTACTCATTAGAGCATCTGATAAGATAGACTGGTCAGAGCGTCAGACTAACGAAGTCTATTTGCTATTCATTACTCATTACTCATTAGAGCATCTGATAAGATATACTGGTCAAAGCGTCAGACTAACGAAGTCTATTCATTACTCATTACTCATTACTCATTAGAGCATCTGATAAGATAGCTGAGCGGAGGATGATGCTAGCCGGTCATCTCGCCAGACATGACGAGCTTCTCACCTATTAAGCTATAAGCTTATCCTCTGGGAGATAAATGATAAACAAGTTTACGCTGAATATAGACAGATTTGGATAAAGGTCATATCTGCTCGGACATAAAGCCACCCTATAAAGTCGAGTAAGTCGATATAAGTTTAGCTTAACAAAATCTTAAATAAGGAAGATTTACCAACCAGCTGTACGATTTGAAACAAGTCTTCCTCATTTTGAAGAATCTCAGACACATACATTTAATATTTTAGAAGTGTTTGAGGTTTTTATGAAATTAAACAGTTTTATGAAACACTAAAAGACTAAATCAAGAATCAAGATCTATCTCTGGGTAATTCTTCTCGTAGTAATCGTCGAGTGTCATTTTGTACTTGCTGTAACTGATCAGCAAATCAACAAACGGGAAATGTTTCCTCTGAGCTAGTTTATTGTCCAGATCACATAACACCTGAGATATAATTCATCTTTTAAGCTTTTAGATCACATGACCACAAGAAAGAGTGATATGTGGTATTATTTTGAAGGGATCATGGGAGATTGATGAGAGTCGTCAACTAATAAATTTAGTTAAATCAGCGCGCAAGGCGCACTGATCATACCGTCGCGCGATTCGGCACGTGGGCGCCGTGGTTACCATGGCGCAATTTATTTCACTGTTCGCGCTTGTCTTTTACACGCGATCAAATTCTTTCTTTACCATTAATATTCGTTGCAATCTCTGTCACTGTTTACAGTTATACATTAGCAAACTTTCAAAAACACATCAAGTTCAATTCGATGACCAGGATTATCCTATTCATCTGGGCACTCACAGTGCCGCTCTCCGCTGCTCCAGTTCCACGTTCACTGTATCAGAACTTCAGAATATCAGCGACAGCAATTCTACTTCGGCATCGCCTATTGACGAAATCCTAGAAATCGACGGATCTGATGACTCCGCAATAAAAGTTGCTTTTATACTCAGTTTCATAGCTGTTTTAACTGCCATCCTGCTAGCATGTCTGATGGTCGGATTCTTTGTTAAGACCACGAAGAAGGTTTCAGAACTATCGAAACTTTTAGAAAAAGATAACGGCATTAACAAAGATCTCGAAAGTGGACTACAGGAAGAAATGAAACCAGAAGAAGATCAAGAAATAGTAAAATCACAGAGTCAGACCGATTTTAAACCAAAGAACTATCACAAGCAGCGTATGCTTATGAAATTGAAACTGAAGGAAGCTCAAAAAGAACACCCGCTAGCGAAGATGACCAGCATGGAAAAAGTTTCGCAAAGAAAACGAAGAAGACGACCCCTGAGAAGCCGTAACGAGAGGAACAAGCGGACTACTTTAAAGGTACAAGTCCTCCCCCTTTTTGGGACGGTCCTCCCCCTTTTTGGGACGGTCATGATCACATTTCTCTGACTAATTTTAACGCCCCAATTTCTAAATTACTAAATTTGACGGACAAAAAAAATGCTTAAATTAGACAAGTTGTCCACAAGTTTATTTCAGATTTACCCGGCCATGGACGTATCAGACACGGAGTTGAGCCCAGGAGAGTTGGTAAAGTGTCACTATCCTTTCCCCAAACATCAGAAGAAGCTCATCTGGCCCAACAAATACAAGTTTATCCCTCAGGATCTTGAACCTGGTGAACTTGTTTTCATTTCTGGGGACGAAAATGCCAAATGGTCACCATACGAATTCAAAGTATCGGATAGCGTTTCACTGTCTTTTGGCGAAGATAAAGTAAAGAATGAAACATCTGGTCAGGAAATTGAGATGATTAGTCGGGATCCACAGAAGATGGAACAATACGCAGTTAAAGAAACATCGCCCACTTTAACCCCGAAGCTTGCGGTAAAGAGTTCTTCCAAGAAACCTTCACGAAGACCACCTCCTAAACACAAGATTAAAGGATTAAGAACCAGGAATTACAATCAGAAGCCGAAAGAGTGATCACCAATTTAGATGAAATAATGTCCACAGTCAGTCCTGAAATCACCAGATCCAAGCTTGCCACAGCTAATAGGCTGTCGTCTGCGAGGGAAAGAAGATTGAATCAAAAATATCTTAAAAGAAATACGGACCAGACTGTGCCGGATACAGCCACAGAAGAAACACTGAAAGTAGAAAAGAAGGGAGACTCGCTGTGTATCGAAGTGGAAAGAGATGATGTTATATCCTCGACTCCCGCCATCCTCCCACCAAACCCCTCTCCTGTCACCCCAGTGCCTCTTGAAGAGTGTCCTCGCAAACTCTCACCTAATAAAGTAACACTGGCCGCTCAAAAGCTCTCTTCCACGTCCCAGCTCAATGATCCAAAGATCCGACGTCCAGAAGCAAAGTCCACATTAACGACTGCTCGGCGTCAACAACCAAAAAATAAGAACGCTCTATTAGCGACACAAACTCCCCCGCCAAAACATGCGAAGAAGATCATGTTCCGACCAGGAGCAGTCAGGAAAAGGAGGTCCATATTCGGCAAACCTAAGAGTCTCAACTATTGGACTATCATTGCCAACAAAAAACTCCAAAAGAAAAACGAAGCTCTTATAGCAGAACATTCTCTGAGCACAAACCCTATTCTTCAAATTCAACGAAAAAGTGACGGGGCTATCCTGTATGAATCTCCTCTGAAATCAAATCTTTTCGTTATTCAGGTTAGCGTCTTACACGAATTCAATTTTATATAACTATATAAACTTATAAAATTTTACAATTACATAGGTCTTATTCGAGTAGGTAAACTGTTAAACTGTTAAAGAAGTAGTTTTCTTTAACTTAACCTTAAAATTCACAGAACGGTGTCGTTATGAGAAAAGATAACGTGAACTGAAATATACAAATATTGTACAACAAGTACCTACACCTCTACACAAAGCTAAACCTGGTTGGAAATGGAGTAACCACTAGTTGACCAATGATTGAAATGGATGACGCATCCTTTCAAGAAACATAGATAAAGAAGGACAGACAGGGATACATTTCATCACACGAAGATATTCTACATTTGCATATTTTCAGTTAATATATTTTACCATATCATAAAAACAAAAAAAAGATTAAAAGATACAAAACCAAAGAAAAAAGAGAAAAAAACAAAAAACAAAAAAAAAGACTTTTCACTTTGCTATACAATCGTGCAGAAATTATTTCAGAATCTGCATTAATTGTGAGTTCAAAAAACCGGATAACTGTGTTTTATTTGTTTGAGTTTGACAAATTGGGAAGGAGGGATCGAAATTTTTTTAAAACTTTCCTTCTGGGTGACGAGGGACGGTATTGTAGTTAAAATGTTTTAAACAGCTCATAAGTTTTGAATGAAACATTTCCTACACTTGTTTGATCAAAAGAGCATAATCTCCATAAAAATTATGTCGATAAAAGACATATGCACACGATATACAACTTGCACAGATGCACATTATACGCACGTGCACATCATATACGCACTTGTTCGATTATACATTTAAATGAGTGCGATAAGCAAAGAAACCTGCAGCCAGCCTAGGAAGTAGTTAAGTCGGCCCCCATCACGTACCTACTACCCTTTTACAGATAATGTAGTTAAGAAACTCCTTGTTACGTGTTTATAGTTATACAGTGTGTTATATAGGCTGTTACGTGGTGTTAAGAGTGTGCAGTATAGTTGATATGGTCAGTTTTAAATTACAATTGTTGCTGCGATCAGCAATTATTAGTAACTGTTATAAATAAAGGTGTCCTCTGTTATTTTTTTGTATTTGCCAGTTGATTATTGGACTTGGAGTTCGTCGTCAAATTCTTGAGTCTTGAAAGTTTAAATTCAATGATTTTATATTACAACTGTTATACACCTAGTGTATATACAGTGTATACATGTATATAATATGATATGCACTTAACAAACATCTTGTCGGCCATGTTATCCAGAAAATTATGTTGCTGTTAAAAGATTAGCATTACAAGGCGTTATCACATATTGAACATTTTCAATGCGAATTGAAAGCTTTGTGCTTCAGCTTGTGGATTGCAATTTTGCGTTTGAATAGCATTTAGGATTTAGGAATAGACTTAAATTATAATCGATTGGTTACAATCAAACAATTTTTAAAATTATTTCACTTAGAATTACCAAGTATCCTCCTTATATTTGCCTGACTTTTTTCCATGCTACTCGTTTGGGAAGTATCACATCTGCCCCGGAGTTTCACTTATCAGTCGGAAGTAGAATTACCGATTTACTAGCGTGCTACCAGTGTCATGCTCAGTGTAAGTGGAACTACCACGTCATGCTGCACTGTCACGGGTGCGTAACTTGACCGTTATTTCTCCCGCATTATTATGCAATTGTTGTTGAACCTTGCCAGCCTTGATTTCAAAGGGCCAGAATAAATCAATTTGAACGACATTTCTCCTTTTGTTCATTTTCCTTATACCGTTAAAATTGTCCTCACATTCTCGTATGCTAGGCATACACTTGGTTCGACCTACATGTACATTGAATATACATTATACATTATACATTATACATGTAATATGTACATTAAATGTATAATGTATATTCGATGTAATTCAAAAATAATGTATACATAATGTATTATTTTACATTGAATATTTATTTAATAATAACATAAAATTGTACAAACATTCATATGCAATTTATGACTGATACTTGACGATACCACGCCCCAGCCATCTCGTGGTTTTCATTACGACTGTCGTTAATATTAACGAAGTTATCTCATAATATGACATGATAAGAAGTACTATTTCCATAAGATAGCACACAAAGAAGTTCATGAATGGACTAATTCAATCTCTCTTGCAGAGTCGCAATTATTGTTATCTCTCCTTCCCTCTTACACTTCTGCCTGTTGAACTGTTGATTTGTTGAACCATTTCGAATTTCTTAGTTTATACTATCTTTTTATCGACTATAATACTCATACTACAACCGCCAGAATTTGGCCTTTCTTAATGTAATTATATTGCAATTTTGAGCTTAAATTAATCAGCTTATCGTTGCTGTACTATAATAGCACATGTTTACCGTACATTATATCATCAGAATTATGAATCGGCGGTCATCGGAGATTCTTTTTTTACAGTTTGCTTGCCGTACGCGTATACTATACGTATACTATACGCGTATACAGTTCATATGATAATTGATATGACATTTCCTTATAATTATAAAGATATGTAATTTTATAGAACGGCTTCTAATTTAGGATAAAAATATAGTTTGTATTATAAAATTTGTTTAACATGATTAACCATACAAATATCCTGTAGCGAAAAGTAAAATGGAAAATAGCACCTTTAGCTGGTGGCTGGAGATTCTCATCTTTCATGTTCAGCTAATATCAACATTTCTTCTCGAAGTGTTCTACTTCATCTCTCGTTCTAGGCCCCGCAAGGAGCTAAAAAACAACCACATTCTTATCACAGGAACCGGACAAGGAATCGGGAACTTACTTCTGAAAAAGCTAGCACGAGATGGTAACACCATTCATTGTGTGGATGTGAACGATAAGTTGAATGAGAAAGTGAAAGAAGAATACGGGTCAAGACAGGATTGCACGGTGCACGTGTACAAATGTGACGTGAGTGACCCGGATAGTGTGACCAAGTTAAAGGAAAGTGTGGATGAAAACATCGCTGCAGGGGGACATCTGGAATACCTCATCAACAATGCTGGGATAGTTTTTGGGAAGCTTTTCTCAGAGACCCCCATAGAAAGATATACCAAAGTTATGAACGTCAATGGGCTAGGGCCCATGCACCTCACCAAAGTGTTTTACCCTGACATGCTGGAAAAAGGAGGACATATCACGAATGTTGCGTCCATAGCGGGACTGGGTCCGTGTCCGCGGATGGTAGACTACGGGGCCTCAAAACACGCCGTTGTGGGGTTCAGCCGGGGTCTGCAGTACGAGCACGACTGCTGTGGGATCACTAATGTTAAAGTTACCACCATATTCCCTCATCTTATGAACACGGGAATGTTTAACAATTGTACGGTGAAGCTCAACAGGATGTTTCCAGCAATTGAGCCTGATCACGCTGCTAGCAAGGTAATCAATTATAATTAGTATAATCAGTATAATTAATTGGTATAATTAAATGATTAAGATCAACAGATTAGGATTTTAATAGAATAAATAATAATATCATTTCTATAATTATAACACAAAGGTGAATGATATCTGCAGTGTCAGTGACGAACAATTTTATTTTCCCTTTCCTTTAGTTTTACGATTGCAATATAAGTGTACAACTTATTTCTATTCGAATGATGACTATAAATTTCATTTTCAGATAATTTTGGCGATCGAGGAAGAGCGAGAAGAAATGATGATTCCTCAAAACGTAGAAAAATACTTCATTATTCAGTATATCTACGGTTCGAAGATGTTCCGTCGACTAGCTAAAATTTTTGGAAACTTTGAGTACATGAAATCTTTCCAGAACATTCGAGAACATTAGAAATAATTGATTCAATTAATCTGTTTTGATTTGTTCTGTTATATTATTTAGTATTAAGTAAATAATACCGAATGCTCATCTAAAATTATAAAAATATCAATTAACTCTATTATCTACACTTTATTTTTGACAAGATCTTTCCAGTACAAACGGCATAAATCACAAAAAGGTTACCAAAACGTGAATATCTTTCGTATGAACTATGATTATGAACCAATGTCAGCTTGCAAATGAAGTTGAAAACTCGCAGCAATAGTTAGCAAGATTGCAAAAAAATGATATGCAGGCGCAGCTATTATAGCATTTTTAGAATTTTGATTTAAGCCTAGCTTTTTTACACAGGACCAAAATTTTACAGTTTTGACTGAATTTCTCACCCGCAACCAATTAGTCATTCAACTATGGGCATACGACACGATTGAGGTGCTGGAAGTTTGATCTCGGTCGGATGAAGCCCACAGCAGAAAACTTAACAAAACGATCAAAATCCGTATTTTCCAAACTCTGTCCCATTTTCAAATATGTAAATTTCTGAACACAAATTTGACAGATTGGGTAAATTTTTGTGTTTATGAACACATAAGCATTGATCATTCTCCCTTTCAGCGATCGTTCTTTTCACTGAGAAAGAGAGTAAACACTAAAACTAAGCGAGCGTGCTAAAATAAATCTAAATCACTCTACACTCAATCTTGGAGATTTTTCTAAAAGAGCCCCCCGACAGTTGAAACCAACTTACTGGGCGGCGCTCAGCCTGTCATTCCGCCGAATCTTTATTATGAACATAATAGCCTGTGGTCCCCAGGTATTACTATTAGGTAAAAACCAACTTGAATCGCGGAAGTGTTTTTGGACGCTGATTCCAAATCACCCCCACGACATATATAGGGTTAAAATGCTCCCCTGGCGAGATATTGGCTGAGTGAATCATGACCTCCATCGAACTGAAAAAAGATGCTCCATGCTCATAGTCATACTTTAATTGACGATGTCAATTCATCGTACAGCTAGCTCGTGCAGATCAGTCAGACACTGAGCCAGCATCATCCATGTACCTCCCATAAAATATTCTAACATATCTGGTAATCTGATGACTGTCTATATAAATACTGTTTCTCTCAAAAAAATAAACTCTGACTACTGCTAAAATAGGACTAGGAGGGTAACCCATAAACAAACCTAATAATACAGTATATACAGTCGATTATTAAACGTAAAATATGAATTATTTAAACCTACTTCTAAAATATTCCTAATGTCGTGTAATCTTGTAATGATAAATTAAAAGTTTCTAATGGGTCCCGTGCAATGCTCCTCTGCTAATTCTAAAACATTGTTTATACATTGTTCGGCAACTAAATTAGTATACAATGCTGCAATATCGGCACTATAAAAGAATGAGAGATTAGAGAGTTCTTCTTGAGGAATTTGAGATACTAGATAGGACCTGGAGGTGGGAATGGATGTTAGAGAGATGGGAAGGGACGTGGTTTAGGAGCGGGTTAAGGATCTGTGTGACTAGCCACGCCTGAGGTTGTGTAGGAGAGCCGATGCAGGAGATGATGAGTCTCATCTTGAAACTTTCTAACTCTAACTCGGATATGTCCTGACCCACTGTGATCTTGTGATCAGTCTTGACGAGCGTGTAGTGTGTTGGTAGCTTGGTGTTATGCGCTGAAAACAGTCGTCTCATCTTATCTCCGAGTTCTTGGTGGTCACAAATATCATGCCAAAGTTTGTTACAGAGATTCTCAAGTTCGGTTGTTTTTGCCTTGATCTGTCTGTTGTAACTGATTTCTGTAGGTCTCGCCACAGGTTGTTCACGCCCGTTACGGGATCCACTTGTAAACACCTGCTGTAGTGGTAATATGTGGTTGATGGTCAGGGATCTGTGTACCAGTTTGTCAGCAACAACAAAATCCTCCCTTGTCGCTCACAGAGATGTGTAGGTTTTCCCAACTTTTTAATGACCTAATGTCAGCCTTTTGTTGTGTTGTTAAGTTAGTCGTGACCTCTGCTTCCTTTATGGTGTTAGAGACGAAACGGTTTAATCTCCTCAATTCCTCTTCCGTATCAATATTTCCTGGTAGCGGAAATTGAATGAATGGTTTCTGGAGAGGGCAGCCTTTCTGTCGGACCTGGAGAGGGCAGCCTTTCTGTCGGACCTTTCTGTCGGACCTTTCTGCACATCCGGGTTATCAGGGGGTTGGTTGTCTGATAAAGAAAATTGGTGCTTCCACCATTTTAACACGGTTTCCGCCATGTCGATATCAAAATCCTTGAGGATTTTTTCCGTGATCTGCTGCAGATTTCTGCTACAGATTTTAGAAAATTACCACAACTGAACAATCGTCCAAGAACACTTCGTTGAGAAATGTCTTATAGTTATTGGTTCTTGCAACCAGTTACACGTTTTTTCTTACTTTCGTCGGGTTATATTCTGACCCTCTATATTAAAGATCTACAACACATTTCCGTGTATGCAGTTACTTGTTATTTATCCGTGTATTTTTTAGGAGTCTAGTTTTTTTCGGAGTAAAAAGAATAATCAAATAATGTGGTGAAAAAGGGAAAGAAACTAAAAAACTTAGTTTTGTACAGCACTGATCGTCGGAACCAGGACCCGATTCGGAAAATTTCGGATTAAAACCAAATCAGGTAAGGAAAAATCCAGTCATTAACAAAATAAAACATTGAATTTTTTCAAAAGAGCGGAATAAGGAGGAATAAAATAAGAAAATAATCAATAACTTCTATATACACAATATTATAACATATGCATAATGCATATCACGATATTTACAGTTTCATTATATTTCAAACGAGCTTACTAATACTACTTGAAAATGAGCTTTTAAACTTTTCGAGATTGGAAGAACCCAATGACTTAAAAATAAGAACTTGATTGTTATTTGCTCTTAAAGCGATCCATATTCAAGTCAAAATAAAACTTTACAAAGTTTATCTTTTATGATAAAACTGAATATCCTAAATCTTCAATAAGATTTATAAAATTCGTCTACACAAGAAATAATTGAATTACAAATAATCAATTATACGGAATTCAAAATTACTAATTTTTTTAGCATATTTCTTAAAACGGTAAACCATAAATTCCCATCAAGTTTTTTCCGAAAGTCATTGACATCAGGACTCCATATCTATATATAAATAGAATATCCATACTTTTAAAACGAGCATGAACACTTACATGTACAGTGAACCAAAAATATATCACAGTAAAAATGTCTATACCGCGAACTCTATACAATTACCCCGTGCTCATTTTTACCCCGATCTAAGTCCCCCCTGGGTTGGAGAATTCGTGATTATTGATTATGTAAGTCATACTGCATATCGAATTGTATCCATTGCAAACAAGACATGGTATGTTATTTGAGGTTAAGGGATTAGGTCATGGAACTCTCTATACCAAGTTTTTGGCTGTACCGTGCATTTTCCGTTTCCCCTATAAGCCCAGTATAAAGAGGTTCACTGCATATTGCATAAGATCATACATTTTACTTTACTTACAGTTTTCAGTTAACATAAACAAAAAACTCACTCTCAGCTAAATATCCCACAAAAGTTTTCGAAACTATACCACGAAGTTAACTCTGATTAAGATCTTAAATCTCAGATTCTTTGACCATGATTTGAGAGCAATTTCAGATTCGTTTTCTGTGTTGCCCTCCTCAGAAAGCACCTAGCAATAACGTTTTCCGTTAGTCGCAGCTCTAAACCTTCGACATCGCTATATCTTTGAGACCACTGCATCTGTATTAATAGTTTGAATGATGAATTCCGGATCTTGCGCTGCTCATGCTGGCCTTCCTGAAGGTGCACCTCAGCAATAATCTGGTTGTGTTAGTTCCGACTCTAAACCCCACCATTTTTGTACCTTTGTGAATCTCTGGATCTTTGTGGATGGTTTGAGAAGATAAATTCGGATCTGTCTCTGCTCCATGCTGGCCTTCCTGAAGGTGCACCTCAGCAATAAAATATCGTGTTGTGTTAGTTCCGACTCCAAACACCCACAATATTTGTACCTTTGTGAAATATCTGGAGCTTTATTTATGGGTTTGAGAGTAAATTCGGGATATTGTCTTGCTCATTCGCCTTCCGAAGATGCACCTCAGCAATACGTGATTGTGTTTAGTTTCCGACACTAATCCACCCTTATTTGTTCCTTTGTGAATCTCTGGAATCTTTGTAGATGGTTGAGAGACTTCGGATTTTGTCTCCTGCTGCACAGATGGGATAATGTACCTCAAGCTATCACGTCACCAAATGGTTCTGTCAACCAAGCACATCCGTCCTCGCCCTGTACTATTGCTGAAGATAATTCTGCTCCTTTATCTCGAGCTTGGTTCCTGAAGACTAGGTTAACTTCGAATATCTAGATCTGCTGTTGTTTTACGGTCCGTCACTTTTTAATGTTTTGTACCGAGGACAAACCAGTAGGTGCATCCAGGTTCTCTCTTTCGAACATTCTATCTGCTTCCATCTCGATATCTTCAGTGTGAGCATAGGGAGACGTGCGATGATAGTTTGGTAAATGGCTGAGGTACATTCTGGTGAAAGTGATTGAATAGTGCTATTGAAATAATTCTGTACAAATCGTCATAAAGGAATGGGGTTTATCACGGGAATTTTATTGCAGATATACATTTGAGACACCGTAACATGGAGTTGCATCAATAACTTCTAGGGAGTGCAACACACAATAACGATGAAAGGCACCAAACAACAGAAGTCAGTAGTGATGAAAATTGTTATCCTTCGAGTAATTTTCGTTTTCGTCACTCATTTTGTCGATTGTTCGCCAATAGTAAGAGACCTTTTTGAGATCTCTGGAGACAATAGCTATCAGAATGTAAAGGATATTGAAATGATAGGAAGCAGACAAAGTTACTGCGAGTATCGCCCATAACGAAGTTTCTCTGGGGGTCATGTTTGTCTACAAAATACTTAAACGCAGACTCCGTCATTTCCGTAGAAATCAAGCTTTGTGA